AAATAAAATATCATTGACAATACTTACGTCAATTTCCTTAAAGGTATTAACAAGTTTTCGGTTGCTTCGAAATGTGCTGCCTCTTGTTCCATAAATGTAGTAACATTATAAATTATTGCCTTTGTTTGGCTATTTAATCCCAGCCCTTTCGTTCCTATCTTTTTAGAAGCCATTTTATAACTATTATTAATAACTAAACTTAACACACTATAAATAAACAAAACTAAACACTAAATGACTTAATAATTCACTAATTACTACTACCTATATTGTACTGAGCACTAATATAAAATAAAATAATAAAATATCCTCGATATTCTCGAAATATAACACGATCAAATCAACAAGTCAAACACTATCTGCGATACGCAACTACGACACTGGCAAAGTGCAAACTGGCCGTTTCTATGGTAACGCTAGTAAACAAGAACCGCTGCGCACCGTAGAGTTATGAGTCATATTCCCAAACTAAACTTTGTCGGAGTCTACTCTAAGATAGAAAAGCTGTATGCAGAAATGTAAAAAAAAAACAAAGTAAATAAGAGATTTGAAGATGAAGACGCCGCCTGTATATTTTGCTGGGATTATTCAGTAAATCACAGACGAAGGAGGTTTTAATTAAGTGCAATTGTATATTTGCAATTTTTGTAAATAAAAATATAAAATATACTTTTTCTTTATAAAAGAACTATAGGGGTCATTTTACCCTAACCATGGTGTAAAATGGTCCCTTTTTAATATAGTGAAGTTTTTATAATAAGTGCAGAATTTGATGAAATTCTACTCAATCTTAATAATGCGTATCAAAGCCATGTTAAGACGTATAACTTACGGTGACGTGATGTGCAAGTTCACGTGGGTGATACAGTTTGGAGACGAAATAAAGTGCTACCAAAAACCGCTGATAAGTTTATGTCGAAATGAGCACCCAAATATATCTTATGTACCATAGTTAAAAAGCTATCTCCCCTTGTATATACCTTGAGAAATCCAGATGATTCAAATGCTGGAAACTGGCATATTAAGGATTTAAAACCATATCTCCAGGAATCAGATAATTCTTCGAGTGATGATCAATCCGATCATGAATAAATTGTGTATCGTGTATATTTGTAAATAAATATTCTTTATTTTCATTTTTTCTCGTCCAACTTTTTGATAACGCACCAAAAGTCACATATCTTTGATTACATTGTAGTAAAAAATACCACAGTACCGTTATCTATTAGATCTGCTCGTGAGCTACTCACTTGCTTATCTTTATTATGTTACCGTTGAGTGAAATTCACTCAATTTTATTTATCGTTGAGTAAAGCTCACTATCTTATCGTTAAGTGAAAAGTCACTTAAACTATCTTAACGTAAAGCTCACTATCTGACCGATAAGTAAAAACTTATTCGCTTACTGTAGCATTAAAATTATATTAACCTTATCACGTCATTACACTTTAGTGTCTATATGTATAGTATTAATAGTGACTCCTATCTTATGGGTAAGTTATACCCAGTTTGGGACAAGAGAAGCACTTTTTAGTCTACAGGTACTCATCCAGCGCTGCAGAGATATGAATAAAGACGTGTACATATGCTTTATAGACTACGCAAAAGCATTCGATAACGTAAAGCACGAGAAGGTAATTGAAGTTCTCCATAAGATCGGAGTCGACTACAGAGACATTCGAAGAATAGCGAGTCTCTATTGGGGTCAAACAACTAAAGTGAAAGTAGGATCTACATTGGCCAATAAAATTGAGATCAAGAAAGGGGTACGACAGGGCTGTATCTTGTCTCCAAGTCTCTTTAGTATATACTCAGAAGTATTTAAGACAGCGCTGGAGGAAAGCACAGAAGGCATAAAGATAAATGGAGAAATAATTAATAACATAAGGTATGCTGATGACACTGTGATTCTAGCAAGTAGCATTGAGGAACTGAGTTGCTTAATGAGTAAGATACAAAAAACAAGTGCACAATACGGACTCAGACTAAATATCACAAAAACCAAATGGATGTTAGTAAGCAAAACCCAACAACCACCACAGCAACTGATATTAGACAATGAAAGAATTGAACACGTGGATTCGTACATCTACTTGGGAACAACAGTTAACACAAATTGGGATCAAGCGAAGGAAATACGTATAAGAGTAGAAAAGGCAAGAGCATCGTTCACTAGCATGAAGCAAATTTTCACCTGTAAAAACCTCACCGTACCTCTCATAATTCGACTTCTGAAATGTTATGTATTCTCGGTTTTGTTATATGGAATGGAGGCGTGGACAATGACCGCAACATTTATGAAAAAAGTAGAGGCCTTCGAAATGTGGGCTTACCGACGTATATTACGTATATCCTGGACTGAGCACGTGACCAACGAAGAGGTACTACGCCGGATAGGTAAAGAGAGAGAGGTATGAATAAGTATAAAGAAAAGAAAGTTGGAATACTTGGGTCACGTTATGAGACATAATAAATATAGAGTACTACAGCTGATCGTTCAAGGGAAAATAGACAGCAGAAGGGGTCCAGGGAGGAGAAGACACTCGTGGCTCCAAAACTTGCGGCAATGGTTCGGATTGTCATCTGCTGAACTATTCAGATCTGCCGTAAACAAAGTCAGAATAGCCATGTTGATTGCCAACGTTCGGAACGGACAAGGCACATGAAGAAGAAGAATACCCAGTCCATTATGGATTTACCAACCCCAAATGGCAATCAATTATTTTTGATCTGAATTACAACCAGTGATAAATCTATCATATGTGAATCATAAGAATGTAATTCTCAACGAGAACCTTTATCCTTTTTCTTACATATTTCGGAATCTGTTTTGACCTTATTAGTTGTAACGATAAGAACGGCTAGGACGATGATGTTTGAATTCGTCCGATCGATGAAATGTTAAGTTTTTAAGTAAAGTTATTTTAAATCTTTGAGTACTTACGTTGTCTACCAGACCCTATTCCCTGATATGACTCAGAAACTTTCGTTACGTTAACTTTAACCTTAGACCTAAGACAAGAAAATAACAAAAACACAAATAGTAATCGAGATCATCATGATTATAAAGGTAAAGCAATCAGAAAGAAGCAATTCAAAAATTTTAAATGTTTGTGTAAAAACAAGTGTTTTTCGAAGGTGAGGAGGCTAACAGACAACAGTTTCTCAAATATTGGGAAATAGCTATGATGCTCAAAGAGCTTGTCTTGGTATATTTGTGCGTGAAGAAAAGAAAAAAAGAATTTACAGCGTAGGGAATCGGAAGAGATTTTAAAATTTCTACAAAAAGAGTTGATACAGCGCTCAAAAACTGAGATACTCAACCATAACAAACGAGGAATACTACATGGTGGTAGAAATAAAATTGACAAAGACAGGATAACACAAATAAACAAAATTCCGAAGTATAAGAGTCACTACCGAAGAGAAAGAGAACAATGTTTTGAAACTTAATTTCTACCTCCGGAAGAAGTGATCCTGTTAGTTTTGTTTCATACAAGCGAATATTTTATTCAGAATTTAATCTAAAATTTAAATCAGGATAGACAAAAAATGAAAGATGACAGAGTAAATCAGCAGAATGCAGTTGGCTTTAATGTCTAAATTTTGATCTAAATAAACATTGCCTTTACTGAGACTTCTCACATTCAATTCTACAAAACGCCAATTTGGCTTTACAATCTAAGAATACATTCGCAAAAAATTAATAAGGGACACTTCAATATTTGGGACGCTCAAGAGATTGGTTCTTGCTTAATGAAATTTATTGACGAGAATGTCTCATCGGATATTATAGAGCTTGTGATGTGATCCGATTCATGTGGCGGACAAAACCGCAATATAAAGTCAACTCTTTTAATGCAGAGTGCTCTTCAATTACATGTATCTCTTGAAGAGATTTATAAACGCTTTCTAGTCTGTGGTCCTGGCTTTCTACCAAATGATTTTTCCTGATATCGAGTGTGTATTAAAGCACCAACAAAGATTATACACTCCTAACGACTACATAAGAGAAAAGATCGTCGTTACATGTATAAACTCTACAGATTTTCGCAGCTCGGAAAAACTAGAAGGAAATATAACAAATAGAAAAACACATGTCAACAAAGAAAAAATCAGGTGCCTGCAAACTAGGGAAATTTAGTTGGACAAAGGCAAGCCATTTTCAATATTTATGGAAAACACGCTTTTCCACAGCTTACACAGAAGTGGATATCCGTAAGAAGCAGATTGGTAGGCCAACAAAAAATTTTGTAAATAAAGACGATCTGTCTCTAATGTGGTCCAACGGCAAGGAAATCTCCAATCGAAAACTACAAGACATCATGTCTATAATACATCTTATTCCCGAAGATTGTCAGTCTTTTTATAAAAGTTTGATGGGGGATGCAAACTTGGAAGGTGATTTAGATGGATTCACGGGACTTCCAGATTTTGAAATCGAACTAATTATTAAATCCCAGTAACTTCATATTAACATTTTTTTAGATTATACGCCTGATAATATGCCTTATAACTTAATAATGGAACATAAATGTTACGTTAACTTTGAACTCACTCAAGTTGTTTTGCAGAATGGAACCAAGCCACAAAAGTGGATTTTTTATAAAGTTTTTGGCTAATACCTAAGATTTAAATCAGTGTGGGTTGGATCCTTTCTGCAGAATCCCATCCAACTATTAACTTAAAAAAACTCATATACTATTGTTACTTCAACTGTAAGCTTCCTGTACATACATTTTCTGACGTTCCAGACATTTCGGAATTTTTCGATGACATCTCGAACATTATAATATATTTCTTCTTTTTGTCAAGAGACTTTTTCTTTATGGAATAGTCATAACTGTAGAGCTGACGTAAATATACCAATTTTCTTTAAGATGATTAAATTAAACCCATATATTTTTAGCTAGTGATCAGTAGCAACATTCATTACTGTTATAGAGTATCAACCATATTCCAAACTGGTGTGTGAGGAAGAGATAAATAAAACAAATGAATACAATCAGAAATTTAATTAAATCTATTAAATTACATGCAGTATTAAATGAAGGCAGTGCCTTTATTTGATGTAATTAACATTCTACCCTGTATACGGAAAAACGTTTAGAATAATTCATACAGAAAGAAAAATTAATATTGTGCGAAAGACGAAAGAGTAGGGAGACATTTTTGTTCCCAAAACAAAACAATTTGTTAACTGATAACTTATCACTATCAAAAAAAGCTATTTCCTATTGATACATATTTTTACTCTATAAATACTGTCTTTCTTACTTAATAATTAAGTTTCTACGACACAAAATTATTAATGATAAATAATTTAGAACAATGTTTCACCTTTATCCAAGTTGTTTCATCAACAACAACTGACTTAGTGAAATATGTTGGATAAGATAAAAAAGTCAAGTTTGTAAAATTAAATGCATCGCGTCATTAAAGGGAAGAAATTATAAATATGAAGATAAAAATTATCTGGAGAAAATTTCAGTCAATACTTAGTGTCATTTCTATGATCCAGATATTTTTATCGGTTATGTCAAAGAGAATCCAACATTAAGATATATAATAGATAAATATAATCCTATAGATTGCCACAATAAAATGGTAGATACCTTCCTAAAACTAATACATAAAACAATTAAGAACAGTGTAAATAGCTGCATCTTTTAATGTCATCATAAAGAACTGTTCCAATTGTATTTTGAGGTTTTGATCTAAAACAATTATTGGTAACATATTCTTACAATTATTTAAACTTAATAAGGTCTTTCAAATGTGATGTGATATAAGAAATGTCACTATCGAGTCACACGATACGTTGAAGAATAAGAATTTATTTGCTGACAAACAATGCGTATAAAGTTTTTATTTCATATTTTAGACCAATTACGCACTCGTTTGACTAATAAAATAATTACTGTTTCTGTGCATCCAAAAGGTTTTTAAAATGAAGTTTTAGTTGCGAATATTAAAAATTCATTGAGCGTATCCTATAACGAACCGAAAATTTTAAGAAAACAGTTTTATTCTTGTACCCTTGAAAATTGGTATATGAAAAATCTAATAAAATGAGTACAAAGTTAAGTAACTAAATTTGAATATAAAAACGTTGTTCGATATGTAACTTGCGCGGTGAGTAAGACACCTCTCTATTATTTTACCTTTGATAATATAAAAAAACAATAGGAAATATAACTTCTCAACTTTCCCTATCAAATTTATTGTGACCGTATTTCATTTTTCTGATATAAGAGTATAATTCATCATTCAGAAAAGCCTCATCTTCAACTGTTCCAATTCTTTATAATGAACATCTAGCACCACTAATTAAAAAACAACGAAAAATTACATGTACTGTACTACATGTATTACTAAAAATGAAAAAATATTAGCGAATTATCTCGTAACAAAATATAAACGAATGTTAGAAATGAACGATTTACAGGTCTGTATCGTACCAAGCTGCGGCGTGGTTATTATCTTGAGGAGGGGTGGGAAGTTGATCAATAGTATCGAAGTTAAGATCCGGATCCCCGCTGGTAACATCCATGGCGTCGATTGCGCTATAGGTCGACCCATTTCCGCCTCCATGGGAGCCAATATCTAGACCTTGCATATCTATGGGTATCTGGTCATACCCTAAAAATACAATTTTTCGTTAATTATACATTTTTAAACTGTTTGTGTGTATATTTACAAACTGTACAAATATTTAAGATGAATTCTTAGTTTCGTTTCTTAAAAAAAGTAGAAAAGTACACAATAGTAGTAGTCTATCGTAGTAGAAAACTAGTCTTCATACTATGTTTTCTGTATTTTTAAAATTTAATATAACTTAAAATTAAATATTTATTTATTTTTTATATATTAAACAAATTTAATAAATTGTTATGTTTGCTGATAACGCCACATAAAGTATACGTTGTGTAGTTATGACTAACCTGTCAAATTCAGACCAAATAAAATATACATAAATGTTATTTGATACTAAATTTAATTATTATATTAACTAAATAATGTTTAAAAATACTAATTGTATTTATATGAAATATACATACAATTAGTATTTTTTAAAAATTATTTAGTTTATATAATAATTAAATGTATTATTTATATGAAATATATTTATATATTGAAATATATATTATCTATACTGTATATATTTATATGAAATAACTCCGCCTCCGGTAAGTGCTGGGTGGATTGAGTAGCTCAGTAAATGCCGGTGCCGGTCCCAAGCCCGGATAAAGGAGGAGGGTTGAGGCGATGGGCTAGCAACTCATCCCTTGTCAAAACAAATAAATGCTAAAAATTTCGACCAAAAGCCTCGGAATACAAAGGATGGATCAAAACAAAGACGACTAATGCAACGGAAAAGGAAAATGATATTGGCTACATGGAATGTACAAGGACTTAGATTCAAACAAGCAGAAGTATTTAAAGAATTAGCGGAAAGAATAATAGATATATGTATTCTCACCGAGACCAAGAAAAAGGGAAAAAGGATATGAAGAGATAGGAGAATATATACATATCTACAGTGGAGTCAGTAAAGATAACAGAGCTAAGAGAGGAGTATCTGTTGCCATTCGAAAAAATCTTAAAAACAATATTAAATCATGGACTAAAGTAAATGAACAACTGCTGATACTGGAAATGAAAAAGAATGGGCACAACATCGTAATTGTCGGAGTGTATGCCCCAAATGAAGATGCAGATCCAGAAAGTAAAGATCATTTCTACAACAATACGGATGAAATACTCTCTGTAATTAAAGAAAACTGTGAAATCTGTATATTAGGAGATTTAAAAGGCAGACTAGGGAGAGAAGAAAATAACAGAGTTAGGAAGATATGGGGAACAAATAACCAATGACAACGGAATGCGTCTTAGAGATTTTTGTGAAACAATGTCTCTCAAAATTATGAATGGATTTCTCTTTTCGGTAATGAGTATTAATTCCCGCCTTAACCACTCGGACATTACGTCTTGACGTAACACGATTTATAAAACCTAATATCTATCTGCCATAATACGCAAAAGCTTCTAGTTAAATAATTTTCTCCCAGAAAACTTTTAATTCTCAATCCAAAATTAATTTTTCTGTATATATGCGCAGTGGCACTAATTCTCTTGTTGCAGGGCACCAAAAAAATAGTGGTTTGACTAATATAGCGTTCAATGGATGGCGCAAGAACAATCTTCTCTCTGGTGTTCCAGTACCATGGTGTTCTTCTTCGACCGGGACTCGTCTTTCTATATATTTTGCACTAAATAATAAAATAGAGTACTTCATATCGTTCTGGGTTCCGCGTGACACGGACAAAATACTCAAATTTTCGTATTTTTACAGTTTTCACTACGCTTCAGCCCAGCTTAAGCGTAGCAGCCTTCGATACACTCATATTTTGAAAGCTTGAAGTTGATTTATTAGCGATATAAGGTCTAGTTTTAAATTCCATACAATAATGTTGAGAAGATGTAACAGTGACTAGACTTATTTTCAGGTTATTGTTAATATTCCGTCCAAACAATACTTTTTTTATTCGAAAGAACTCCGTTCTCTGTGCTTTGTTCTTTTTTCAAAAATTTTGTTTTTATTTTTTAATTCTCAAGTCTGAGAAGTGTAGTGGGTAATGTGAACACACCTTTAGCAGTTGGTACACGTTTATATCCAAGTAGTGACAAGTTCTGACAGCTACTGGGTAATGACACATACCAAGCTATAAACGAGTTGCATTTTTTTCATTATTGTGCTTCTGGTGGAGTAAGCTGAACTATCGTTTTGTTTGCTTTTTATGTTTGAAGATATTACTCCTACAATGTGCACTTAGATTATAATATTGAGTGGATATACATGAATGACTTATTGCCAAGGTATGCGAAGGTAGTTTAATAACTATAAATAAAAGTTACAAGCAAAAAGGTACACTGGGAAAATTTATGGAGAAGCTTTTTTAACAAGAGAAAATAAATTCGACTCAAGGAAACAATAATTTCTGTAAAACTAAGCACACACTGGAGTTATTGTCTATGACTATATTATGCTTACAAGTTGATCTGGATAATTTAGAACTGGTCATTAATGATGAAAATATCTTAAAAAAGATCATCGCCACCGGTCATTTGGGTTTTGTGGTTTTACAAATCAAGTCTTCATAATATATGCTTTTCTCGAAGCGTAAACGTTGATTGTATTTTTATGATAAAGGTGTTGTGTATAAAGAATAAGCTACAAAGGATCAGACAATCAAGTAATAATACGTTTAAGTTATAAGAACATTGCGGACGCAGATACAACAGAAGGCCTAATTTTTTGCAAGCAGTAAATAATTTCTTCACTATGCGACAGCACATTCGTGGAACCTTGTGCAACAGTTTTTGGTCTAAACATAAGATTGGTCTCCTCCGTCAGAGTCCGTATAGTTCTGTCATATCACCCTGCAACTTTTTCGTAATTTCAAAACTAAAAATATCACCAAGGGTACTGTTCGTTAAGACAGAATATAACTTTGCTGAGTTATGGACGCAATGATTTGCTATTCCATGTAGTTAAAAAAAATGCCTTTATTTTTTCAAGAAACTTTTAGTCCTATAGTATTATTGATTTAGTTTTTAACAGTTAATATTGCTCGAAAGCTGTTTTCTTTTAATAACTTGCATTTTATTTCGGCCTTCAGATAGAACAATCGTTTTCAAAAAAATAGTCTTAAACAAATTAAATAATATAAACCAATACTTAACGTAAGAACACATATATACTTTTAAAAACTTATTGTCCAACATCTACACGACAAGTTTAAAAAAAAAACAATTGACTTAAGTATGTACTAAAACTAAATCACAAGATAATTTCAGTAGAAAATTGGAGGAGACTTTTTTAATCGTTTCTAATCAATTTTATCAAATTAATTGAAAACTGCGATACTAATAAATGGATAACTGCTAAACTCACAATATGATCTTCAGAAAATTGGCTATAAAGCTAATAATTCCATATATTATAGAAGAAAGCTATTTAAGAACTCGTTATTTCTATTACATTATTTTGATACAGCAGTTAGAAAGCTGTGAAATCAACAACATGCGTGCAATAATACAGAAATGTTAAAATAGTGTTAGCAAAAATTCAAGTAATCAGTGTTTTTGTTATAAAGCCATAGGATGGGTATTTTAATCAAACGGTCAAATATATTAATTTCAAATAAAAATAGTGTCAAAATGCATGTCAATTATTGAATTTTTTAAACTGTTTACATTTCCTTTGAATCGTTTGGACACTCGGATATCTTTTCATTTAAGATTCAAGAAATAAAAATAGATAAGCCAGATATCTTTATTGAGTTTAATATTTGACTAGATGGTTTCAAAATTTTGCAATTCTAAAAAAAGATAGCCAAGGAAAGTAGAGATTTAATTGGAATATTTATAAATTAAAAAATAAAAAGCATTTTGGTGAGACTCGCGGCAGAAATATATTCACAATTAAAAACAGGGGCAGAAGAGACTGGACTAGAAATAAATATTCAAAAGACAAAGAATTAACACAGGTAAGAGCTAGGCGAAACAGACACACAGTTAAATTAGAGGACAATATTGAAACTGTAGAAACAGTTTCACATATTTGGGAGTTACATTAAATATGGATGGAACAGAAGAAATAGAAATTCAAAAAAAGTAAAGGAAAACAAAGCTTACTTTTCACTCGCCCATGTGTTCCGCTCCAAAAACACATACTGGAGATCGAAAATCAGGGTCTACAAAACTATTATCAGACCAATAGTATGCTATGGATGCAAGACATGGGTGATGACAGAAGACACAAAGCGAAAGCTGGAAGTCTTCGAACGAAAAGTCCTAAGGAAGATATTTGGAACTATTAATGAAAACGGATTTTGGAGATCCAGGTACAACCATGTACTCTACCAACTGTTCAAAGAGACACCGATCTCAGAATTCGTTAAACTTCAGAGACTTCGATGGACTGGTCATGTAGTGAAAATGGAAGATTGCCAAAAAGAGCCCTAAATAGTAAAATGCAGGGCGTAAGACCATAAGGAAGGCCACGAAAAAGGTAGGAGGATGAAGTGGCAGCGGACGCACAAGACGTGAGAACCTGAAGACGATCGGCGCGGGACCAGCAAGGTTAGAGGCATAGTTTGGAGAAGGCCAAGGCACGATTTGACAGAGAGAGAGAGAGACTCGCTGGCCTGCAAGCCAACTTTTGGACCCTGCACTTATTAGTGTCGATTTCTTAAGACAGTCAAAACAATAAACCTAGTAAAATCATCGCAGGTACATAAACCGCTCCTAAATTCTCCATATAATGTAATCTTCTTGCGACATATTGTAATTTCGTCCCTATTCTAAAAGAACTTTAGTATCTGAAACCCTCTTGAGAATGACGTGACGGCTGTGAAAATATATCTTTAACTGATTGATTCACCGGCTTGCTTACCGGTCGCTGTAGACTGCAGATTTATATCTGTAGATCTAGAACCGCTTGGATGAGCGGATGTCCCATGATGCCGTCTTTGATAAGAAGGGAACAACCTTTTCGCTTGTCCTTTGGAAATGCTCGCCACTGGCCTATCAGAGGAGGCAGATCCTGGGTTCGGCCTTAAGCCACCGAGCCAAAT